GCTCGGCCCAGTGAGGGATGGCTTCCTGTCGCTTGTCTCTTTCAGCCTCCCAGTGGCCCAGCGACGGGGGTTACCCCGCATCACAGCTGAGGACCCCGGGGCTCAGACACGGTGATGCACACAAGCTGCTCAGGGCGCCCAGGACCGAATGGAACCTCCCAACTTATGGGTTCTGTGCAAAACCAGGACCAAAGAAGTCATTTTATCTCAGACTCTTCCTTATTAAGGTAATTTGATTTTTAAGCCAGCATAATTTTAGTATTAGAATTCACGTGACTTTGGACCTATCTCGACATCCGGAAAATAAAGAAACATCCTCCCAGCCTCCGAATTTCTTCTACTGTATGAAACAGCATCATTTTGGGTGAGGCGGGATTTGCAATTGGGAGGTAGATATTACTCCAGGAAAAGCTGGGCTTCTAGAAAGGTCTTCAGGTGGAGTTACCGGCAACTTGGGATTTCTGCTTTCAGTTTAGCTGTTTGCTCATAGAATATTACATATATCACTCCTTTTCTATCCTAAACTGGCACGAAACTTCCCGAAATTGGTTGAGAAGGAGAAATGACAAGGTTATATCAGGAGGGAGGTAAAATCCACACGCATTGAGAAGCTGGGCCAGGGTTGGGGGGCTGGGAGGACTAGAACACAGGCCTTAGGTCAACCCAGGGCCTGCTCCAGGGGTGACAGCAGCTGAGGACACAGGAGGCTGCCACGGACTCGTCAATAAGGAGAGACTGCGACTCGGGCGCCAGGGAGCATCTGGAGAGGTCTGGACGGCAGGCCCTGGGTGAAGCAGGTGTTCGTTCAGTGGCTGGAGGATGGGCTCCACCTAAGAGTATCTGGGTGTCTCAGGAGGATTCCAGGCAAGATAAGGCTCAGGCATGACTCCAAGGCAACAACTTGTAGGACGAGTTCAGAGCAAAATAGCCTGACTTGTTTGGGTTCTGTTGTCACCCAGTGAGGCCCCTCTCCTGGCAACCAGAGCCCACCCCCTGGTGCCCTCTGACCAGGCCTTCTGTCGCGACCCTCCTGCCCCCTCCCCACGCACCACAAAGCCCCACCCGAGCCTGTCCTCAAAGACCACAGCCTGTCCTGGGAATTTAGGCCACCTTTTAAGCTCTACCCCACCAGCTCGAGCTCCCACGAAAATGTATCTTCCCTCCGAGTTGCCAGGATAGTAACCTGATTACCAGTGATGGCTGCGTGTAAGCCGCTGGTTCATCCGAAAGGCCGCGGGCATTCATAACACAAATTTTATTGAAGACGCTCTAGGCCATTATTTGTGGTTACTGTTACTATATTTATCTTGAGTAGATCTAGAGACAAGATCCAATTCTATCATCAAAGCTGCACAGGATTTATAGTCTTAAGCATTGCATTGTGCCCTCAAAATGCTAACAGAAAGCCTAAGCTAGAAGAACCGCCTACGCCGGTAGTCTGCTGGGCAAATACTGAATTTGAGAAGCTACGGCACAGTGGCGGAGACACTGCTTCGAACCAGTGAGTCCCACTGAGGAGAACTGTCCGGAGATGGCAGAGGAACAGACGGGATGGCATTGGTTTTGTTGAAAATGTTCCCTGTCGTGTGCACAGCCCATGTGAAATGTGCTCAATCAGAAAAGGTTTCTCCTCGAATTCGCACAGGGATCTAGGAGACTGGGGACACGGAGCAGATCTCACTGGTCAAAGGAGATTAGGGAGCAGGTTTTGGTTTTTTTTTAATGTCTGAACTTAATACAAGGAGAAGTTCTGAGAAAAGTCGCTGGCGGGGTTGGGCCGGCCGTCCCCTCTAAGTTGCTCTGCCCCAGGGGTCTCGGTGGGAGGGAGAGAACCGAGTCACCTTCCAGCAGTGTCCTGACCGGCTTTGCAAATGGTAACGAGCTTCCATGGCAGTCCCAAGAGACCTCCCATCCCCACCGCCTGGGTCTCGGGTCTCTTACTCCCTCGCAGTGGGAAAGAGCTCCACTCCCGCGTCACGGCCACGAGATCTCAGCCTTTTCTCCGCCTTCGTCATGATCACCTGGAGAGACAGTGGGAACCTGGTGCAGAAGGGGGACCTTACCTGATTCGGCATTTGCTATTGAACTTTATACTCCACAATTTTGTGATGACAGTGACCAGATTTCCACCCTCAATTTAAAAAAAAAAAAGAAAGAATTTTGCAACCAATAAAACGGCCACCACGTGTTTCTGAAGAGCCAGGAGGGAAACATGCGAAGGGACATACAGAAGTGGGAGCCTCGCAAATGCTCTTTCGTGGCGGACTCGATGGGGACGAGAGGTGGTGAAAGCCACAGGGAACTTGGAGCGCCGGGTTCTGATCCTGAGAAACATGTTAAACAGGGACTGCCCAGCCAGTCAACAAGCCTTCTCCTCTCTCCTTTGATGGCAAACAACCGGAAAAGTGCTCTAGTGAACACAGTCTGTGAAACAAGAGATTAATCAATATTTATTTTGTCTAGTCATTTGGGCAAAAGGGCCTCCATCAAGTGTTTTGCTCATTGGGTAGCCTGAGAAATGGTTCAGACTAGAGAAAATGTTTGGTTATAATCTATCATTTAGCTTAAAACAGTTGCCTTTTAGAAAATGTATCCTTTACATGGCTGGAGAATCTAAGAAAAGATGAATACAGTGTATGCGCCAGCCAGGACCTCAAAGCTTTTCCCCAGAAAGTTCAATTGAAGGACCCGAGGCCCGGACTGCAGCCTGGGGCACGGTGGGTTTGGGGCCGAATTCTCTCAGCTGTGGCTTGTATCCCTGACATCGTTGCGTGACTCAGAAACACATTCTCCACAAACTCAAATCCGCTCACTTGTTGCTGGTCTTCATTGAAAATTTCGTTTGCCAATTAGCATGCTAATGAAGATGTTTTTAAAACGGCGTATTTATGGGAGTTGTTGGCACCCATGGAATTGAAAATGATGCCAACCAAACGCCATTTGAAATAGAAGTCGTTTTCCTTTTGGCAGCAGGAACAAACGCTCAGAGTCGCACAGTAGCTCTTGATTTATGAGCTGTGCTTGCAGCCTGACTCCCACGGCCCGCGCCGGTCCCTTTAAGGAACCGGGTTGGAACCGTTTAATAGGAAAACAGCCCTATCTCCAGATCCGCCTTTGACTTTGGAATCACACGGGTCTTTGATTATAGCTGGCCCCGTTCTGGCGCCTCCAGTGACCAGGTGGGGGAGTGGAGACAGGGCACCTGCGCAGCTGCGTTTCCCTGGGGACGCGGCCCGAACCTGCCGGGAGCGATGCGCGGCGCGGGCGGACTTGCAGAAACGCCTCCCATCCAGCCTTCCAGTAAGCGGCTCCTCGGCCCTGGGCCACAGCCTGAGATGATACAACTGCCTCCCGAAAACACGGCTGAAGGGGTGACAGAGAGGATAGCTACTGAAAGCGGGCCTGGAGGCGGGTGGGCAGAGGCCGGGGAGACACCCCTGCACGCCTTGCGGGGTATTTTTGGCCGAATGTCCATCCTCCATCCTCGCAGTGGCCCACCGAACAGAGTGTGTATTGTCAAGTGCGCCTGATCCCTGGAGAGCAGGAAAAACGATTCCCTGTGGCTGGAGGGAAATTAACTCTTTCCTCCCTTTGGCAGCTGGCTCCGAGGGGGCAGGGCCCCCCACTCGGGAATAGCAGTCACTCCGGGGGCACCTTGCAGAGCAGCAGAGTGGCAGGGCCCCCTAGACAGTCCCCTCCTTCTTGTGCTCCCTGCCCCCACCCAGCACAGGTGCACCATGTGGAGGACACCCGAATAAAACCGGGCTGCCCTGACTTCTTAGTTTCCCATAGAGGCAACTAAAGACCATTTAACATCGAAGTTTTAAAACATGCTTCCAGACTTGAGCTGGGAAAAACCTCTGGCCTAGACCGTGAATGTTAAAAGCGATGAGAACTGCGTGTTCCGTCCTGATGGTTTTTTTTTTTTTTTAAAGACTGAATTTGGAGGGACGGCGATGATTTTGCCTCGGGATGGCTGCGGGAGCATCGGGGAGACGCTGAAGGGCGGGCGGGAGAGAGGGGTCCATCCGAAGTAGGCTCCCTTTAAGAGGGAAATAAGATTAGCGACTTTGGCAAAATTTCGGGCTTCTATTCAGAGGGAAAGAAAAGAGCTTCCAGTGCCCAAAAAAAAAAAAAGATGTTATGAGACAAAGACACAGCAATTTTATACCTTATTGAAAGCTTCACTGGGAGTGGTTTTAACTCCTCTGGGGTTAAGAAAGATTTTTTTTCCCCTCTCAAGACCAAAGGTAGAACTAGGGTGAAGGAGTTGAATCTGAAGTAGTGCTCCAGTCAGCTCTGTGCCGTCCTGGGAAGGACACAAGGACCAAGAGCCTCGGAGGAGAGGAAGCGACCAGCGGAAGGTGAGGGCCTGTCTTGTAGCCGCGTCTGTTACATTGTAGCCTGAAGGTGGAAACCGCATCTGTTAATTGTAGCCTGAAGGTGGAAACGAAACCCCCTTCTCGGGAGAACCACCTGATTTAAACAGAAAGCTTTTAAGACTGCTACATAAATATCTGAGGCAGAGTCTGCCTTTTTACCTTATAGATTATTTTGTTTTCTAAGTGGCCTTATGCCAGAGGAGGCTGCAAAACGAAGGCAAATTTTTTTTTTTTTTTCATGTCAGTTCAGAAAAGGCAGTGGGGCTTCCTTTGGGATAATCCTAGTGTTTACTCAAGCCTTCTGCATTTGTAAAAATGTTATTTTCTCCAGTTTCTGTTTTGTTCCCACAATGGCTGAGTTGAAGCCCCGACTAAAACGTGTAACCAGTCCTGAGGGTCTCTGTCGTTCACACGAGGCCGTAGCTCTTTAGGATGGCATGAAATTGCTTCGCGTTTGGCGAATTGCGGAAAAGATGGAAATGAAAGCTAAAGTGAGTTCAGTTTTCTTTTTTTTTCTTTTCAGCTGTTAACCGGAAACCCAAACCAACCAAGAGCGACCCCACCTAGAACTATCTCTGTTTCAAGACTGCCCTGGACGCCCGCCCGGCGTCGGCAAGAATGAGCTATTACGGCAGCAGCTACCCGATCGTGAGCATGGACCCCAAGTACCCGGGTTACCCCCCCGAGCATGTCCTCGCGGAGAAGAGGCGGGCCCGGCGGCGCCTCCTCCACAAGGACGGCAGCTGCAACGTGTACTTCAAGCACATTTTCGGAGAGTGGGGGAGCTACGTGGTGGACATCTTCACCACCCTCGTGGACACCAAGTGGCGCCACATGTTCGTGATATTCTCTTTGTCTTACATCCTCTCCTGGTTGACGTTCGGCTCCGTCTTTTGGCTGATCGCCTTCCACCACGGGGACCTGCTGAACAACCCAGACATCACGCCCTGCGTGGACAACGTCCACTCCTTCACGGGGGCGTTCCTGTTCTCCCTGGAGACCCAGACCACCATCGGCTACGGGTACCGCTGTGTCACCGAGGAGTGCTCGGTGGCCGTGCTCACCGTGATCCTGCAGTCCATCCTGAGCTGCATCATCAACACCTTCATCATCGGCGCCGCCCTGGCCAAGATGGCAACGGCTCGGAAGCGAGCCCAGACCATCCGCTTCAGCTACTTCGCCCTCATTGGCATGCGGGACGGGAAACTCTGCCTCATGTGGCGCATCGGCGACTTCCGGCCCAACCACGTGGTGGAGGGCACCGTCCGGGCCCAGCTTCTGCGCTACACGGAGGACAGCGAAGGGCGCATGACCATGGCGTTCAAGGACCTGAAGCTGGTCAACGACCAGATCATCCTGGTCACGCCGGTCACTATCGTCCACGAGATCGACCACGAGAGCCCTCTGTACGCCCTGGACCGAAAAGCGGTGGCCAAGGACAACTTTGAGATTCTGGTGACATTCATCTATACCGGCGACTCCACGGGGACCTCCCACCAGTCCCGAAGTTCCTACGTCCCCCGGGAGATCCTCTGGGGGCACAGGTTCAACGACGTCTTGGAGGTGAAGAGAAAGTACTACAAGGTGAACTGCTTGCAGTTCGAGGGCACCGTGGAGGTCTACGCGCCCTTCTGCAGTGCCAAGCAGCTGGACTGGAAGGACCAGCAGCTCCACAGCGCGGACAAGGCCCCCCCGCTCCGAGGCTCCGGCCTGTCGGAAACCAAGGTCAGGCGGAGGTCATTCAGCGCCGTGGCCATCGTCAGCAGCTGCGAAAGCCCGGAGGAGACGGCCAGCTCGGCCCCGGATGAGTGTAAGGAGGCCCCTTACCAGAAGGCTCTCCTCACTCTCAACAGGATCTCCGTGGAGTCCCAAATGTAGTCGCGCCCCGTCCTTTTACTCCCCGCCAGTCAGCGTAAGGCAAGTAGCTGCAAACAGGGCTTCCAGGGAGTGGGCGGCTGTGCGCGATGCTGCTGCTAAGAAGAGCAGGTTAAACGCCATGAAAGATAATCTAACAATTACATAGTATCCAATCATTTAGACTTTTTTGTTTCCCTCCCTTCAGCTAGCAAATTTTGTATTAGGGATGCTGCTGAGAGTCTAACTGATTAATATAAGTTTCATTAGCTCCTTGTATGATTCCATGTACTCGTATTTTTGGTTGGAGGTGTAATTCAACACTGGGGACGGAGGGGAGGACACGGGATAAATAAAAATAGAACAGGCAGCCAGCATCAGTCATAACTGATAGCCTAATGAGTGGCTTCCTATTGAAAACATCCTGCCACCTAATCAAGACACAGGCCAGGCATGCATTTAGTAGGTCGTCTTGCTGAGGTACCCAACGGTGGCAGCAGCTGTCCCGTTCGAGTCCCTTCGCCTGCCCCTCAATGTGTCTTGGCATCAGCAGGAAGAGTTAGTGGCCGCAAGAAATAGACGGGGCCACCGATTCAGACGTTTCTCCGCGGCCTCCTGCCGGGGTAAAGATCCCCGAGTGCCGGGAGCTGTTTCCCTCTAACCCGGGAGGCAGAAGAGGAGTTGCCGTCCTTGCTCAGAGCACTGTTTCTCTCCGAAACGCCCTGGTTCGTTCCAGCCAGGAGGGGCAGAGACACAGCAGCCCTGGCCCCCGCAGGCTTTCTGACAGGGGGGCTCTTTACGCCCCCCTCCCCCCTCCTCCAAGCAAGAGGCCAGGGCACTGGATCCCAGAGACAGGGCGAGGGAATGGACCGCGGCGAAGGACACGCGCAGACTCTTTGGGGGGGACCTGAGCAGCGGCCTGCAGGACTGCAGCCTCCGCCGGCTGGTTCCCCGTGTCCGTGGGCGACGGCTCCTTCCCGGGGGGGATGGGGGATGAGGGGGACGGTGCCAGAAGCAGCCGTGTCTGCTGCCCGCCTTGGCCGCTGGACAAAACACAAATGACCAGAACTGTGGATTTTAGGAAATGTTTCTGTTGAATTTAGAACAGTCATTTAAACTGAAGATTCTGTGAAACATAATTAAAGTGATGTGCACAGTACTGAATGGAGATGCTGGGGGCCATCCCATTGCTTACCTTTGGGCACAGGAGATACACCTGTGTGCTCTGTGTCCATGTTAAAAGATGTTAATCACGATTACTTTAAACACAAACTCAATCACCTGCGACGAAGACGCGCTTTGCTTTATAAAGGGAAGACTTGTTGGCCACATCCAGGTTTCTCTGCCTGGTTGTTGTAAACATGGTTTCTGAGTTGATCAGGACATGCCACAGTTTTTTATCTGCTTATTTTATTTATATATACATACACACAGTTTGGGCTCTTTCTGGGGAATCTCCCTCTCTCTGTGTCGCTTTTTCTGTTTAAATTAAACCTCTTACCCAGCACAGGATGTAAACTTGGCGCTCCCGTGTAATATTTATCGCTAGTTTTCTGTTTAGATTTATAACCTGCCTCGACACCCCGATGAGTTACTCAGTAATAAAGATCTCAATGCAGAAACTGTGAACTCTGGGTGGCGTGAACTTGGCCGCTGCGGTGACACTGTTGTTGCGTAGAATCAGAGAGGGGGCAGAAGTGTCAGCATCTCTCCGGGTTTGGACAGCCCGTCAAACAGCCGTCATGGCTCCACCGTGTGCTGTGGCCGGTGCAGGCCCCTGCCCAGTGAGGGAGGGAGCGCAGGGAAGGGGAAGGAAGGTCTGTTTTCGGGGACCCCCGGCTCATCGGGCCCCAGGAGGTGCCGTGCACAGACATGCTTAATCCCCTCAACGAGGCAGTGGGCGGGTAGTTTAAATTTCCAGGTCATCAAATGTCTCCTTCTTTGCTTCTTTCTAACAGTGTCCCAATGGGGACCACAGTGTGCCCAGGTTAAAAAATAAATTCAACGATGCTCTCCAGTCTCCCTGCAGCTGGGGGACTGGGGGGCAGGGAGCTGATGCCTGCGGGGCCTGGGCCTGGCCCCTGAGTTGTCAGCAGACCTCGGAGGTGACCTTCAGAGAGCCTGGCTTAGCGGGCTTGTGCCCCCTGCCCCCCGAGTGCGCCCTTCTGAGCAGCACGTTTGGTGGCTGAAGCTCCTGCTGGCCTCTCGTGGGAATGAGAGTGAAGGCCACGCCTTCCGAGGGACACTGGGAAAGGCGGGGTGTCCCCTGATGCTGCGGATCTGCAGACTTCTCTGCACGCGGGAGAGTAACTGTGCTTTCTAACCGACACGGGGGCCATGGGTCTAAAGGCAGTTACACAGGGGACCGGGGCTGGCGAGGTGCACATTCGGCCCAGCTTGCACATGGCATGGATGGACGCGGTCCCTGTGGGAACCACATTTTCTGGGAAGCTGAGGAAGTGCCACTGTTACTGTAAAACAAAAGAGTTACCGTTGGCTGGGAAATCCCTCGGAGACACTGATGGCCGAGTGACCTCGATAAAAGGACTGACCAGGCCGGCTGCCCTTTATCTCCCTGCTCCCTCCTCCCCTCCCCCCCAGTGACTTTCCTGTTTTACTGGGACTGTCACTGGGGCCAGGGACCTGAGATCCACGGAGACTCAGGCTAAAAGGCAAAACTCTGCTGGGACTGTGTCTCCAACCCCCAGGGAGGCCGATTGCACCAACTTAACTCAATTGTAGAAATACAGGCTGTTTCCCCAAAAATGGACACACACTTTAACAGCTGAGAGCTCAATTGATGTTTCTCTCTCTTCAGATTTAACCCATTGGAATTAATAATTATTCGAAGTGTGTATTTATCTTTGGGGGACACCCTGTTTATACCAAGCAACCTAGAACCACCCTTGAAATACCGGTATTTCATTACTTCTGAGTTGGGCAGGGTTTGTGCAAAGGAGATTCTCTGGGCTGCTCCTAGTTGAAAGATTGGGCATCAAATTCTACCCAGTTTAACACGTGCTCGTAGCTCCCCTCCCTGTGAGCAGAGTCTTCTGCTCTGAGCATTCTGAGAGGTGGAGGTGTGTGTAGAAGCCCCTGGGTGTGTGTGTTTTAATAAGTTTTACCTGTGGGCTTCTAGAAACCACCCCTGCACACCCTTGCTACTCAATAAATCACCAAGCCCTTCGGGTCCCCCCCAGGGAGTGCGTGTGTGGGTAACACAGACACACACAGGGAACAGCAGGGAGGCACTTGGCAAATTCTCTGCTGAGGTTCTCCTGGTTGTGAGGTCTTTGCAAATGAAACCTTAACCTAGGGACTCAGTTCAGATAAATCTGTGGCCAGAGCGCAAGCAAGGCCTCCGACGGGCCTTTGCCCGAAGAGACAAGATCACAGTGTTGCCGGGAAACCAGCCCTGGTCCGCATGGCTGTGCAGCTTTTCCTTCGGGGAGGGAGGCGTTGTGTCTGAGTGAATCCCCGTGTCACCTCGCCGCGCCCAGCCTCCTAAAGCAACTTCACGCAGTCCTCTGACGACCGTGTGGCTGGGTCACGAGATCTGGCTGGGGACAGGTGGCATCTTGCCCCATCACGTCACCCCGCGCTCCTTCCCTCCTGGGAATATTGGGGACCTTTTGCGTAGAGTTTGGAGACTTAATCCACATGGCTACATGTTTCCAAGTTCGACGGACTCTTAGGTGCTGAGTACCTAGCAGGGAAGAGATACAAATAAATAAACGATGGCCTTTTGCTGCCGGGTCTCCGATTTGTGCTGTTTTATAAACGCCGCAGAGTGAAAGAAGGCTGGCTGTCCAGTCCGCCATCCCAAGAAAAAGCAGCCGGACTGGGGCGGAAGGCCACCTAGATGAGACGGTAACCCGAGCCGGGTAATCGCCGAAGCCGGGGCGCCCCTGGAAACTTGGGCGCCTCGCGGGGCCACAGGGAAGCGGGCTAATCATCCCAAGTTTTCCAGGAGCCCTGAGGATGAAAACCCACCCAACCAGCCCGATGAAGCCCCGCTAAATCACACAGCCCAAGAATGCCTTTCCCCTGTGCGGCCGTTTACCACAGGGACCTATAGAACACCCCGAGTCACTCTCTAAGTAACTGGAGCTCGAGACAGAAAAAGAGGCCCCGAGAGGTTCAGCCCCTGTGAAAACTGCTTTGCAGAGAGCGATCAGAAACTTCCAAATGCCCACATAAAATGCTCCGGGCCCAGTTTGCCTGGGGGTTGGGGGAAGGCTAGGCCCCGGGGCCAGGGTAGGGGCAGAGCGAGCCCATCCCAGAACCAAAGATTTTCTTTTTTTTTTTTTCCAGACATTAGCTCATTTAACTAGATTTCATTTTCCATTTGAGGACCCCTCCAACTTAGAGGAGTCAGGTGCCCCAAGAGACAGCCGTGGAGGGACAGCCTAGGAGCCCGGGGCCTCGACCCGCCACTGGGCGTCCTAATCCTGGTGCTACCTGAGGTGGGGATGCTTCGACTCTGCGGTCACTAATTGGAAAACCTGATCATTCCGTCTATGAAATAAATACAAGCCTGTTCTTTCCTGAACGCGCTTTCTGAACGTAACTGCTCATTTGTCGTCCTGTAGAGAGGCTGGAGTGTGGGCAAAGGGGAAGACGTGTGGGAACGGCCGGGAAGAGCAATGAGCGGGCATAGTCTCCTTCAAACGAAAGGGGTTGGGTTCAGAAGGGAAAGGCTCGCTTTTTTTCAGGGCCGGGCTGATGCACCGTGGGGTGCATGGGTACACCCCTGGGTGCTGGTCACTGTCCTCGAGCCTCTCACCCGGGAGCAGGAGCATGTGGTCCTCTGGCAGAGCCAGCCTTAGGGAATCAGTAAACCCCAGGAGCGCAGGCTGAAGAAACCAGACTGCCCGGGGTTGGGTCCTGTTTCTAGGGTTCAGTGGGGTTCATCGAATCCCCGAACGTGGAACCCGTGGATATGGAGGGCAGGCTGCACACGTATGTGGAGATACATATTCATACACATACACGTCACTGCCGGCACCTAGGAGTTGCTCAGT